ATATACAATCAGAAGAGAAAAATTTATTGTTTTCTTATTTGATTATAAAATACGCGGGGATTGGAAAAGCAAATAGACTGCGCTCAAATAAAATACTTTCTCAAATATGCTTTCATTTTCCACTTAATAAAAAATAAATAAATTTTTTACTTCTGTATAGAGTTTTTCAGTTTTGGCACTTACATTTCCATGATTAAACAATTCCTTCTAAAAATCTAACCGTATAGGTATTTTTTTCACAATTGCGTTTTCATTTGATTGTCATTGCATCGATGCGAGTTAAATATTGAATCGTCACTTGCCGCGCGACAAATGATTTCATTTTGCACCCTCTCTCTGTTGGTGAAGTGGCAGGATTAAATATAAATTTCACCCCTGCACATGACGTCATGCCAGCTGCTTTGCCATCTCAATCCCCTGACCACCGCACTCGGCGGGCTCTTATCGGCCACTGCCCGTTGCGCATTTATCACACCGTAAAGGAGAGAGGCAGATTTCAACTCAAATAATCCAATACTACACAAGGCCCAGCAACAGCGTAAACACACACACCAGACTCTCGGTACGCATATTGTTCTAGGGGGCGAGAGAGACGATCTAATAAATTACGCACACCCTCACCCGTTCAATCAAAGGCAGCTTGACCCAGAAATTTTTCGCTTCAAAAGGCAGAGGCGATAGATAACTTTCGCCAAAAAAAAATTAGCAATTATTACCAATTACCCTAATATGTAAAATGAATATTTGAAATACAATTTCTCTAATTTTTACAAAATAACCAAAAAAGAATCGAGAAATTGACCAATAACTATTGATTTTTTTAATTAAATTGCTTTTTCTATGGGCTGTTAATTATTGCTAGACCCTCCTAACAATTATTTTTGCTATCAGATATATTTTGATTAATTTTTCCAATTCTCTGCAAATTGAAAATGTTGCATAGCAAGTGCTTTTCCGTGGCGTTCACCTCGGAATTCCTGAGTGTGCGTTTCTTCCTTTCCTCTCTCTGCCATTACAACGCGCAATTCGTGTATGTACCGCTCGCCGACCCACCCCCTTCTTTTGTGCCAGGGTAATCCATCATTGGGGGCTGAACGATAGGAAACGGCTCAAACTATAGAGCATCATTCAGGGAGAGGCATCGCCGCAGCGCTCGCGTTCTGTTTATTGACATGCAACCGTGGGCGGATTTTTAATTATCCCCCTTGTCTGCGCGGCAAAAGAAAAGACCGAAAAACTTTTTTTTCCAGCTCTTGGAAAAAATCATTGCTCGGGAACAGGAGTTAAAGAAAGAAAGAAACTTGGTGAGAGTGGAAGCTTTGATGTGGTGGAATTTGAATTTCATTTGCGCGCGCGACGGCGTGTATTTGTGGAAAATAACAAGTATGGAGAGCGGCGCGCAGCGGCGGGTTGACTTTGATGGATTATAGATTGTGGAAATGCCAAATTGTGAAAAGCGGGCGGCGTGCTGGCAAAAGTAAAAGTGGCGTGCGTGTAAGAGAAAAGCGGCTCGCTCGCTGGCAGCTGCAATTGGAAATTGATGTCAAGCAAAAGGAAAGCCACCCCCTGAAAAGTAGGGTTCGACCCAGACGAGCACTGAACTTCCCGAAAGGCTCTGGGTTAGGTCTCTATGGAGTCGGGAACTCTTGAGGCTAAACAAAATTAAAATATGCCCAGCAATTGAATCAGAGAAAATTAAAAATAAATCTCAAAAACAAGATTATTCATATATTATTAAAATTTTTATTTCATAATATTTGTTTAATAAATATCAAAATAGAGTTAATTTGCTATTGTTCTTATTTTCGGTAATTTTTATGTATTTTTAAGGAATATTTTATAAGTTCATTCTGATATGAGATTTTCCGTATTAATTTTTTTCCCGTTCTGCTCTTTTTTGCCAATTGTGAGGAATTTGTGGAAAAAGCCGTCACAAATGGATGTGCGCGCCACTCAGGGGGTGTTTTGGCGGCGCAAGGGGGTGAATATTGACACGGAGAGCAGGCTGTGATGCTTTTATTCTCTTGTTCAAAAATCTATCAATCTTTTTTCAGTTGCATAACGCTGGCTGTGAAAATGCTGCGTGTGTGAGCGCCGTGAGCTTCTTCGTTCATCCCCTGCTTTCTTATTGTCCTTGCACACCACACAAGCCATCCATCTATCGCGCCACTCAACAGCCACCAAGGGGATGAAAGCGGCACACCATCGCGAGCGAGCGCATAATGACATGCAAAGATTAATTAATTTGAGCGCCTCTGCAAATGCATTCGTCGCATTGAAATTTCGTAAGTTTGAATTGTGTAAGTTTGCACAGAATCAGGAAACGATAAATTTTATGGAACTGTAAAGGAATATATTTATGCAAATTGTTTAATTTATTATAAATGTTTAATTAAATTTAAACACTAATTTAAAAAAAGTAACGATGAATACTGAAAAATCTCATAGAAAAATCTAACCTGCTTGTATTTCAATGGGCCTTTCATTAATTTATTTTTTTATTGAAATTCGTAATAATTTTTATGAGGAATTTCAATTATTGTTTATTATGTCATGCTTATTTATTTTTCATCAATTATACTTATATCAAGAAAACAAGAGTTTAATCTTAGTTACTTTTACTGTTTTCTATAATGAAGCCAAAATTGAGTCTTCTGGCTGACCAAGCACGTTGTTGATCTCATTTAGGCTCCATCGGGGTGCAGGCTGCGGCGATCTCTGCCTCAACAATTCATTAATCTTTTGCAATAGCATCCACGCGGAGCAAAAAAAAACTCTTGCTGCAGCAGTCGTCCTTTCGCTCCCCGCGCCCGGCGCACATCCATTATTTAATTTTCATTGCATTGTATGCGTCGTGCGTATACGCCATTATCGGCCACATTGTTCCCTGTAGCTGCAGATTGGCTCTACAACTCGCCGACGCTCACAATGAAACCGTAATTATGCATTTTGCGGCGCATATTATATTGTTGTGAATTCGCGCACGCTGGCCAAGCAACGCACTCGACCGAGGAAAATAACTCTCCATTTTTCGTAAATGTTTGCAAGTTATTTGCCTAAATAGTTTGGTATGATATATTTATGCGTTAATAATATGCGATTCATATAAATTAGATAACATTATTCAAAAAATTCAATTTCTTTCTGTAATCTTTTTGTAATTCCATCAAGGATTGACCGTTACGTATTATCATTAGAATTTCACTGTAAATTAATTATGAATTTTTATTAACATTAATTTTGCATAATATATTTTTTTTTAATCCAAGATTTTGCAAATTTTTACAATTGGTGAGGTAACTTTTTTTTCTTATTTATAATATTGCTTTTTTTTCTCACTTAAAAACATTTTGTTCGTATTTCAAATAATTTTGTAATGCAAATAGGGGCCCCAGAAATCCCCAAGATATAGGGGCAGATTAGATCGATCTGCGGGGAGGGCATTTCAATATTTGAGTTTTGTGTCTGTCTGTATGTGATGCTCATCTCTTTTCTTATATCTCACTCTCTTCTTTCCTTCTTAAGCTCTCTTCTGGTCCTCCCCGCTGCGAAGTGCACGACATTTGATTGACGCAATGAGAAATGATTGTGCCCCATTCGGCCGTGATGTAAACACAAACCTGCCAATCGATGATACCACATGATATCATACGCCACCTCAAGCGCTTTTCCAACCAGCTCTGACCGAGAATCGGCCATTATTGGGCTTAAAATTAATTCAGAAAAAAAAACTATAATTTGATTTGATTTTTTTTCCAAAAATTTTTGTTCGATGTGAGTTATGGTTTACTTTATTTGGCAGCTTTGAAAGGGGCGAAATGAAGCCATATAGAGTTTTTCCGATCGCGGAGAGCAGACCTGTCAGGAGAGGCACATATTTTATACAATAAATTAAATAAATGATTGACCAAAACACGTCTGCGCGCCAGCCATTGGCATAAAAGAGCCGTCTGCGCGTCCAAGAGTGCATTCACACATAAAACTTTATCGGTGAAAAATGATGAGAATTCCACCCAGCAAACCGGCATCATCAGTCGCCGCATATTCTGGTCATTAAATGTGTAACAAGATTGATGAAACATCAAAAATCGCGCCGTGTGTATTTTATTATGTTGTATTCCTTCAAAAATTTAGAGGGACGTTTACTTTTGCTGCTTTTCCTAAGTGGTGAGAAATTTATTTGTGTTGCGTTATAATAAGCGAGGTTGCGCGTCCTTGCTGCGAGCAGTCGTGTTCAGGTCTTTTTTAAAAGAAGTAGTTCTTTGTGGCAATGAATAAAAAGTGAACACGGCCGGCTATTGAATATTGAAAAGCTTTTTAAAGCAGATTCACTCCGTAGGAGAATAAAAATTTAGCTTCACAATAGAAGAATGATCAACAAAATTGGAAAATCCTTAATTTCTGATAATAGAGTATGCAACGTGCTGAACAGCGTGGTTGCCCAGGTTGCAGAAAACTTTGCTACCCCAGGCCCAATGAAAAAAATTCACCACAAAAAAAAATTAATAACAATAATCTTTTTAAATTAAAAGTGGGAAATTAAAAGAATAAATGACATTAAAATGGACAGCAAAATTGAAGTGATATGTATTCAAATTTAATATTTTCCCAAATTATTATTATTTCCGGTAAGAATCAACTTTATTTTTTGCTTCGATGGCCAGTTTTGAGCGTGAAACGACAGCACGATTGGCCCAGGCGACACATTTTCGGCCTGAACCCCGAGCAGGGGGTGGTATGGCGACACACATTTGGGGTGTGAGTTACCCTGGCTATATTCTCTGTAAATACATCCAGAACGCATGCACGCACACAAAGCTGCATTCACTCTGGGCCCAGCTGACACAATGCGTGCGTGCATGAAAAGGAGAGAGAGGCCCGTCCGTATTCATGCGGCATGAATAGATGCACGGGGGTTGTAGGTGGGGGTGTAATGCCCCTGTGCATGCGGTTGGCACGCAGAGGAGCCGCAATTTGACGCGACATCCTGTCCAGGCAGCATGGCCACCTCTGCGGGCTTTGAACTGTGCTCCGGCTTCCAACAGCCCTTCTACTTCAACCAGTGGGGCTCTCCGGCCGGGGGCAGTGATGACCTCAGCAGCACTGCACCCTCGACCCCGTCCCCGGCCGCCCTGTACCCGTTGGAAGCTCCGTTGGAGACGATGGCTCATAACCAGGCGCTGCAGCAACCGTGTGAAGGACTTGAAGCGAGTCCGAGAAAGAAGGGCGGTTCGACGGAATCAGTCCAACAAAATCAGCAGTTCTTCCCTTGGATGAAATCTTACTCTGGTATGTAAATTTATATCTCAATTATTTAATTACGTTTAATAGAACATAATATTAATAAAAATCTAAAAGTTTTTTTAAATATTTCAAAATTTCTTTTGCTATAAATTTTAAATTAATATTTTATTGTATTTATTTTTTTATATTTTTTTTATAATTATTTTGGTAAGTGATAATGTTTGTTTGCTACAATATATTATTACTTTCTACAAAATAAAAAATTAGATTTATACAAATTAATAAAAATAATGAATATTATTACATTGCTACACACTAGAGAATATAATTATTATCATTGGTTGATAATGTGTCATTTTTGATTACGTTTGTTTACTTATGGGATAAATATGAATGAGAGCTAAATAAATTGTGGACAAATAATTTAATTATAATTGAAATTGAATTTAAATAAAAATTGTGAAAGTAATTAACTGAATTGCATCAATAAAATTAATCCAACTGAATAAAGTAGAATATTCAAATTTAAAACCAAAATGATGTGAAAAATTTATTAATTTGGCTTTCAGATTCTGGCACAACTGCTAAAAGGTCTCGCCAGACCTACTCCAGGCAACAGACCCTCGAATTGGAAAAGGAGTTCCACTTCAATCGCTACCTGACCAGAAGACGCCGCATCGAAATCGCCCACTCGCTCTCACTAAGCGAGCGACAAATCAAAATCTGGTTCCAGAACCGCCGAATGAAGGCCAAGAAGGACGGAAAATTCCCATCGCCGGACAACGCGAGCGACCTTCTTCCTCCGCAGATGGCAGCGCCGCCTGCGGTAGGTCCCTTCCATCAACCCCAGGTAGTCCCTGACCTCGGCCACTTCCACCACATGATGCAGAGTTTCTAAGGGAAACTTTCCCCTGCAAGACTTTCTCCACAAGCGGCGACAATCAAAAGCGTTATTGTAAAAGACATAACAGTTCCTATTTTGTGCTCTTCCATTTGAGAGATATTTTGCCCCAAACATTTACTATTTTACTTCAAAAGAAACTTTTAGAAAGTTGCTCAAAATATTATTTGTCAGGTCAATATAATGATTAATGAATTTGGCTATGTATTTGTGAGCGCACCTGAGCGGAAGGGTTCCTTCGACTTTTGCCAGCGAATTGTTTCAGTCTTTCGTAGCTTTTCGGTTTGAACGGAGCAGCTGCTGCCGATTTTCGCTCCTTCCATTTAGATTATTTTCAGTTTGGGCAGTGCAACTTTCGGTTATACATACATTTTTTACATGGGGGAATAACAAAAAAATATAAATGCGGCAGTGTTCTATCGATGTTTTTTGTGTGTTATTGAAATTGAGACTTTTGTTGGACGCAATCGCTGCTGCAGAATTGATGCTATCGCCCCACGCGCCATGAAGGTAATTTTAAAAATTCGTCTGGTTTGGGGGAGGGCCTTGTGTCAAACGCAGTGGACCTTTTCAAACTATTTATTTTTATTCATTGCCTGCTCACGAAAGGGTGTGTATTGAATTTTTCAGACTTATTGATTTATTGCGTTCCAATAATCAATTATTTACGGCCGCACGCAGTCGAAATGAAGCCAAAAATTATTTTCATTTTCGCTCTTGGGCAGCGCTGAAAATGAAAAACTGTATTTTTATTTTCTCGGTCGCGCAGACTTTTGCCGCCGCGCGTTAAAATATTCGGCCGTGCGCGCTCAAAGGGCATTAATTACGGCACAAAGAGCGGATTAAAGCGGAGAGGAAATATTTAAAGAAGATGTGGCAATAGTTTTGAAAAGTGGTTTGGTAGCCGCCGCACATAAATCAATGAGCCGCAACTCAAGTGCTACAGATTTATGGCCAAATCATCCATTTACAGCGGAGACCTGCTCGCTCACCATACAAAATCTTGCTCACGCAGCATCAGACATTCCTTTTTTACAAAAGAGCTATAAGAAATTGAAAATTAATATTTTTGATCAAATTGCCTCTTGCTATCAACTAATTAAAAATTATTATATTACACTGAAAATTAATTTAAAGAAAGTTTTAAAATCTAAATTTTAAAATGTGAAATATTTTCATATCAACATAAGAATATCAAAGTAATATAACTAGGTTTCTATGTGTAGTTCCTATATAGACTAATTGTTACAGATTAAAATTGCATTTATGCCAAAAATTAACCTGATAATTATAAATCCATAAGTTAGCTTTTTAATTTTTATCAAAGCTCCACATTATATTTCTAGTCTTTTTGAGCATATTATGTAAAATGTAAGACTTATTTTTTGACAAAAATAAACAAATTAGAAAATAATAAAAATATTTTTATGATTTACAAATCCTCAACATTATTTTGTTCTATTAAGATGAATTTTAAATAGCTTTTAACTTGTTCCTTTCCTCCTCTCTTATTGACCAGAGTTAATTTTAAGTGAAGACGGACATCAGTGACACAGTTTGTCTTACGCGTCGGCAGCTAGCGTGTTATTTATCAGTGTGGCAGTGGCGCGCATCTCATCAGGCAGGATGATGAGTCTTAATTGTTTATTGAACTTGGCCCGGCGCGAAGTCAAAATGTTGACGCCACTCTTTCTGCACCTCGGCGACAGGCCGTGGGCCAGCTGGGCCGGAGATGCAAACCAGAGGGCCGGACCCCTCGTTCAAATCACCCGGACCACCCCTCGGCCAACATTCCTTCCTCCCGTGGCCGCGGCCCGCAGCAGTTCTCGCAACATCAGACGCGCGTTTCGCTGTTGCTCATCTGCCTGCTGCTTGTCCATATTGGCGATAAGTAGTGAAACATTTGTGTGTTTTCCGATCAGAGGCGGTGATGAGAGCAGCTGTTTATTGTCTCAGCAGCATCGAACACATCCCAGGCCTTGGGTACAAAATAATTTTTTCCTCCTGAGAGATAAAATTTTTCGTCGGAGGAAAATATTATTTTTAAAGGTGGAAGGCCCACGTGAAAAATAATAAAAAGCGAGCTGTGATTGCGCCTCCATGTTATTTTCAGGGGTGTTTATGCAAGTCATCGCATCCCCCATCAGTCAATCTGCCGCGCTGCAGCCGCACTAAAGCGATAGCGTGGTGGTTGGCCAAGTGATGGCTGAGTAGGCACAAATCGCCAGCTAAAATGCCACCATTGTTGTAAACTTCATTGTAGCAGCTCAAATCTGGAAAATTCAAAATATAGCCAAGAAGCACTGATTGATGGAAAAAATCTGTAAAATCTACGTTTCCATTCATTGAAATTTTTCTTTTTTTTCCATTTATTTTTATTTATTTTTTTTTATTGAAATTTTTTTTATTTGATCAATACAAATATTGTGAATTCGTTTAAAAATTCGAAATGCTCTCGTCCTTTTTTACGTTGTGTAATTTTCTCGCGGCGCTTCGCACGCCGGTTTGAGTCAAGGACAAGATGCGTGGATCATCCGTCTTCCCTTCTCTCTTCGCAGTCAGTGTTTGTGTACTTTTTAGATGCCACACATTATACACACAAGCCGCACGCATTTTATATTGAAGAGTTCGCAGCAGTCAGTCAGCTGTGTGGATCCATAAATTTAGCCCCGGGCCAACTATACCTGCTAACCTATTTATTATTATTGCTTCGGCCTCACCTCTTTGCTTGTATATACACATGTGTCTAATCGTTATTCCGACACGGGCAGGCGCGCTCTCAGCTGTTTCTTCAATTTATCGACTCATTATATGCCGCCCTTTTCTGCTCACTTGGTATACGCGCCCGCGGCCACAGTTGCTGCGATCATATAAGAATTTCGCGACTTGCTGAATTTAAAGTTGGATATAAAGCGATATTTTATGGAAGTGTAAAATTTCACAATACATAAAACAAAAAACAAAGGTGTAAGTAAAGAAACTCATGAATCAATTCATTACAATATTTTACTGCCTTTATTATTTTTTTACAGATATTAATGAGATACGTCATAACCCAAACGCAATTTTTGGGATTATTTCCAATTCTTAAAAAACTGCCTTAGTAAAACTATATTTTTTTATCGTTTATTTCACATTTAATTTAAATTCAAGCTTTTCCCGTAAATGTTAACTTTTACATTGAATTAATTAAATTTTACTTTCGCATATGCAAATTAATAAAAAAAAAAAATACATTAATATAAGAAAAATCTTTTGATTGTTTGATGGTATTATCTTTGTTTTAAAATAAAGCACTCACAAAAATCATTAAAAAAAATTTTTCCCAATTTTTTTCATGAAATAATATTTAGATATAATAGTTATATTCCCTGTTTGAAATATGTAAAATTACAAAAAGATTGCTTATTTATTCAACTGCTCACAATGAAGGGTAGAACATACATATTGCATAACTTCTTAACTGTAGCAAAGCCAACACCAAACAAATACTAGTATGATGGATTGAATTATATTTTAAATAAAAATTTACATTTTTATCCACCACACGCAAATATATAATCATTTTCAGGGTTTCGGAGCGGTGAATTTCAAAACGCTCCTGCGCTCCTTGGAGCGAACGCTCCTCAGCGCAAACGCTCCTGCGCTCCTAGGAGCGAACGCTCCTCAGCGCAAACGCTCCTGCGCTCCAAGGAGCAAACGCTCCTGGGAGATAGCGCTCCTAGGAGCGGTACAAAGCGCTCCTTGGAGCAAACGCTCCTCGTGGGCTCCTCGCTTGGTGAAATTGGACGCGCTTGCGCACTATGAGCGTTTGCGTAAGATCAAATTCATGATTTATAATGAAAGTCAATTTAATATTTAGTATTTTAAATTGATTAAAAATTTAAATAAAATTCCACGCATATGAAAATCATTTTTCACTATATTAAATTAATGAAATGATTTATTAAAAGGCTCTTTTAAGAAGCTATCTTATCAGGAAAACATGCAGCAAAAAGAGGTGTGCTCGTAAATCTTCTTTTAAAGCCAGGAAAGGGCCTGTGACATTTTTTAAGTGTTATTTCTTGTATGGACTCATAATATACATTAAATTTGTCAAATCACTCAGTTGTTAAATAGGATTTTAAAAAGATCAATTCTAAGAAACTAGGACGACATTTTCGTGTTTGCACCTTCCTTTGTTCAGTTGATATACAATCCATAGCTTGTTTTTCGTGTGACCTGGGGTGGAAAAAGGAAGGATTTTCCCTTGTGTGTATAAAGAGATACAAGGAGAGGCAAGCTAAAACGCATTGATGCATGTTCCTGCTTAACCCAAATGCTACCCCCCGCTTGGCATGTCAGAAATATTATTTGCCACAATATGTCAGGGTCTTGTCCATAACCAAAAGTGATAACCTTCTATTAGTGCATACTATCCTGGCTCAACAATCCACAATTTTAGTGCATAAAACTGCTAATTAAAATATATTAAATAATTAAAACGTGCATCTTAATCAATATATAAATTTTTTCTTAAGGAATGGGATGAATATTGACCATTTTAATGGGAAATGCGCCAAGGAGCAAAACGCTCCAAGACAAAACGCTCCAGGAGCGAGCGCTCCTTGGAGCGCTTTGGGAAAACGCTCCTTGGAGCAAACGCTCCTCGGAGCGGTAGAAAATACGCTCCTGCGCTCCTCGGAGCGCTTTAGGAGCGCCACCGAGCGCTCCTTTGCTAAAAACGCTCCAAGGAGCGTTTGCGCCGCTCCAAAACGCTCCCGCTCCGAAACCCTGATCATTTTTCAATCTGCAGCACAAAACCGATCACTCGAGCGATTTACTTTTCAAAAAATCTTTTATTCAAACCCTTGATGGAGTGAAATTCTATTTACAGAATCCAAACGCAAACATTTTGTGCCATGAATTTTTAATGCCGTGCATAATGATCGTGAGCCAGCATCCCACACACAAGCATTGTTCGCGCGAAATCCATCAACAATCCGCATGGCATGCACGCAAAACGATTCCACGCCGTCTGAAGGCTCTCTCGCTCGCGCATCCCCAAAATAATCATAAATGACTGCAAACGCGCTGCACAGTCAATCATTAAATATCGGACAACAATGCAGCCTCCAATGAATGATTAATGAAAGTGGCCGCGCCAAGGTCAGATGCGTCATCCCTTTTTCAGATCAGCCCTATGCAAGAGCATACATAAAGTTATACCAATGCTCTTCCTCTATCTTCATCTCATCCCCAAGCGAGAGAGGGCTGCAGATTTCGGCTCGCACGCTTTTCTTTTGTTCTTTTTGTCGTACATCGGCCCGAAACTGTTTTTGGCCAAAAATGGCGTGCCTTTGTTTCGTGACCCGAGATGCACAACAGAACGTTGCGTTAATGCAGATGAATTTCCTAGCGTGGACGAATTAATTAATTCAGCTCCCTTTTTTCTTTTTGGAGAGAGGGAGAGAGATATAGTCCAATAGGATTTTGTATCAAACTAAAAGTTATGTAAAACTCCTCTTTGGCATATTTTTTAGGTATATAGAATCCAATGAAATTTTTTTTAATTTTTAAGTTTTTTAATTGTTTTTAAATCCGGATGGTCTGGACTACAATTTATAAATCATAACTCGGTAATTTTTGCAACAAAATTTTTTACTTTTCCTTTATTTCTTTTATTTTTGGTGGTTTGAGCTATATAGTATATTTTTGTTTTAAAATTTTTTTCAATTAAGTCTTATAAGATAAGATTAAGTTTTTATTTTTCCTCTTCTGATTACACACCAATTCTTCCATAACCACTAATAGGAAAATATCTACCAACAAAATTACTTATGTTTTCCATTTTTTTAAAATTAATTTCTCGAACATTTATAAATATAGCTATCACGAATCGCAATAATTGCCTCCAGACTGTTTGCACACATTTTTCTCACTTTTTTTAAGAGCCAGACATCACATTTTTTTAACTCTTATCTAACGCGTCAAAAATTTTGAGGCAAAAAGAACATAAGTTTCTCGCTCGCCTTTTGGCGTTTCCTCATCTGATTAATGAATTTCCTGGCGCAATGATTATGAGCTGAAATTGCGTTTTTGTCCGAGTGGGTGCGATTCCCATGTCTCTCTCTATTTTTGTGCGAGTTCCGCCACACTTGTGTGTCACCGCTAATCAGAATCGCCGTCAGTCGTGGGTCCAATAGTGAGTTAGCAGACGCCGCGCCACATTATATTGCTTATGACACCACGTCTAGAACTCTAACTGTATTAAACCACCAGCAACGTGTTGGGGCTGACACTTGAACGAAATTATAATTTTATTTTACCAATTAATAAAACAAATGATATTTTCTCATTTTATAATTAAAAAATTTTAAGTGTATGATAAGAAACATTAAATTATAGGATATGTCATAAATAATTTTTTTATAACACTAAAAATGTATTGTTTTTAAAGAATTTTTTTTCTTCTTAACTTTTTGATGTGAACCGAAACCAAATTGTTTGTTCGGAAGAGGCTCTCTTTTACAATTACACTCGCGCAGGGGAACAAAATTGCATGATGCGCCGGGCGCGCGTATACGCTGTGATGGGTCCTGCCTGGCCGGGTGTAATTAATTATCCTCGCTGACATAATGATGATGGTGAGAGAGACAAGAGAGCAGCATTCTTATATGAATAACAAACGCGATCATTTCGTGTTTTACTCTCTGGGTGCTGATAACCCGCGCGAGGATGTCCCGCTGTCTTGTTTGCTCATCGCTCAGCAATCATTATTTCTAATGTCGCAATTAAACTTTCCACGTCGATGATTAAACAAAATTAATGGATTAAAATTTATAATTTTGTATGTACCTTTGAGAAAAAAACTGATGATTTTATTTTATTTCAATTTCGAGGAAAACCTTGAGAATTCCGAAGTGCAAATAACACAATAGCCTCTTTCGCCCCCGGCGAGGGATGAAAAGAGGCTGGGGTGTAAAATGCAGTGCGTTTCTAATGTATTATCCACCGTCTGGCTCATGTGTGTGTGCGCGTTTTTGTGTAAACGATACTGGTGGCATCTAACTCGGCGATCGCGCACTTTGGCGTTTTATTTATGTCTTCCAAGCATGCCGCACATAATAATACACAACATTTTTATGGCCCTGTTTAATATATGACATCCATAATGAGGCTCATAAAGTAACTCGCACTCTGAATGAACCTTCCTCAATGGCGCGTGCCTCACATAAATTCACAGACACCGCTTGCACTCTATGGTCGCGCTGATGCAGTTACGAGGCTAATTTCCGACAGATTAATGAACTGTTTACCACCGATTAATCGAAATTTGATAATAACACATATTAAAACATGTGGTGCATCATCTAACATAATTTCTTTGCTGTTTAAATTTATATAAAAATTGCGTTTTGCATAAAAATTATTTTTAACAATTTTTTAGCTATGAAGATGTAATAAACATTAGTGGTTTTTTTTTCATTTAATGCTAATATATAATGATTGCATATTAATTCACACAAAAATAACACTTATTTTTAGTTTAAAAATTTTATATAATTAATATTGAAATTTATAATTACACTTTATATCATTAATTGCTACTTAAAAATTCACATTTATATGTTTTGTAAAAGCTAACTATTTTGTATTGGTAAATAATAACAATATTTAGTTTCAAATATTATTCAGTTGCAGCATCTTTACTGATTAATATTTTTTAGGCAATTACTGCCCAAATAGATTATATGTACATAATTTAGAAAATAATACAGATACAGATATATTACGTGGCATTGTGATATTTTGAATGCTCATGAAAATACATGGTAATATTTATTAAGCTAAATGAATTTGTATTTTAGTAACAAAATTAATGTATGTTGTATCAATCATTACTTACTAAGTTACTATAATATAAATTTTTAATTTAATTCCAGTTCAATTCAATCAATTAAATTTATCTTGTAATAATTCCTCAATTAAAATGACGAAAATTTATTCAAATTAACTCGAGTATGACTATTTTTTACGATATTTCCTCAATTTATTTATTCTAATTTTCTAGTTGCAAAATAAAACAAGCAATAATTCGGTAAACAAGGAGATGAGTACGAGGAGTCTTCCGTGGGATTAACCCTTGAACGACGACGGCGGCGGCGCCTCCCCTGCGTGCCCCTCCCGGTCCCCTCCACCCTGCGGCTGCGACCGCCCGACGGCCGGGCCGGCCCCCAGCCCTCACTCTCTCAGTCAAAAACCCACTGCTCAATCACTCGGTGCATGCTCTCCGTGGTGTGTGCAGCAGCAGCGCGGGGTCCACGTGGATCCGCAGCACCATGAGTTCCTACCAGTTCGTCAACTCGCTGGCCAACTGCTATGGAGGCGGCCAGCAGCAGAGAGCGGCGGCGGCCACGTCAAGCGCCGCCGGCCCGCAGGATCAGACGGCCCTGGCTGCCGTGGCCGCCGTTCACGCGGCCGCCAATCAGGACTACTACGGCGGCGGCTACCCGGGGGCGGCCAACTGCTACTCGCCCCAGGTGTCGCCGCATTACGGCCCCTACGCCCCCGCAGCCGCCTCCACCCCCCAGACGCACCCTTCGCTGACGCAGGGTGGCACCGCGGCCGAATACAACCCACAGTTGGCCGCCGCGGCGGCCCATCAGCGGCTGACGGCCGCCACCAGTCTCCAGAGCAACACATCCCCGGGGGCTCCGACGCCCCCGTCGGCCACCCCTGTCAGCTCGTGCAAGTACGCCGACTCGACGGCCTCCTCGCCGCAGGACCTGAGCACCAGTTCTGGCACCACCCCCAACCCTCAGACCAGCAGGAGTCCGACGGATCCTTCGACGGCAGCCTCGGCCGCCCCCGGCCAGCAAAGCTCGGCTTCCTCCACCGCCTCCAACAACAACTCAGGCTCTGGAGGCAAAAGCAGTGGCAACCCGCCGCACATCTACCCCTGGATGAAGAGGGTGCACCTTGGCCAAAGTGAGTTCCGTATGTTATCAAACAGCTTATTCTCAATTTTTAGTTTTAATTAGTTTGTTGTAGATTTGTAGTTGGTAGTGAGTATTTTATGGTCGATGAAATTTTGCTTATTTGGTTGTTTAGATTTTGTAAGGTTTTTTGTAAAACGGTGTAATATTAAATTGCCAGGGAAAGTTGAATGAACGATGGTGGAAAATTTCAGTAAAAAAGGAGGCTCAGATTTTTTCTAGAGGTACAATACAGATATTGCGTTATTAGTAATATCTTAAGCATTTTAATATATAGAAAACTAACAAATAATTTATTTTTAATAGTTTGGTTCTATTATATTTAAAAATAATATAATTTTCTTATAGAAAAATTATTTTGTATTTATTTCATTAAACGCTTTTATTTTTTCTGATATGAATATTTCTAGTAAATTTAATTATATAATGTCTTGCCGAGAAGGTAGTTAGTCATATATATTTAACAATTTAATAATACTGGGTTTGAAATTATTAAATATATTCTGCTTTGCCAATTTAAATTCAGTCATGATTAATAATTTATAAGTAATTCTTTGTCAGATGAGAGAAGAAGTTGAACGTTGATTAATTATGAATAAAAGCATGGACAGTTTTATTTCGCATATATAAAGAAATTATCTCAATATGTAATATAATGCCATATAAAAAAGTTAAATTTGAAAGTGAGAAAATGAAATATAAAAATAGTCAAGTCCTTAATTTCATAACAAAAACAAATTTTAAGTGTATTATAATATTCTTCTGCAATTATATCCAATAAGAAATTTTCGATTGATATATTATGCCAAACATTTTTACATAGAAGAAAAAATTATCCAAATTGAGCTTAATATCTATATATATATATATCTTAACAATACGTTAAGAAGAAGAAATTCAAATAAATTTTATAGCATTTATTCATAAAGCAAATTCTTGATTTAATCAGTTAAAATGCAATCAATATTTTAATTAAAAAATATATTTACTAATAATATTTTACACGGCATATATACGTTCATTGAGAACAAAAAATTAAGAACAGCGGTCCAGAATTTTATGTTTACGTAAGTATAAATTTTGCTAAATTATTAAAAATATACAGACTATTAAAATTAAATTTATTTTGTCGCGCACCACATTGAAAATTGCTTTGTAAAATTTTTTAAGTTACATTGAAGTTGTACTCAAATGAGTTCCAAATAAAATAATATATATATTAAAATTAAATATTCAAATAAAAAAATACCAGTCGCGCAATTAAAATTGTGTATCACGTGTCAAGTGCGTATAGTCGCAAATTAATCGGGAGGCCGGTTTAGTGAGCCATAAAACACGAGGGCCATTAAAGAGCACTTAGACGCCGCGCGCGCACTAGTTTGTATCAATTACAGCAATTATCGCGCCAATAAAATAAAAACAGGTGTGCGCCGGCGAGTGAGTGCCGAAAATAAAACACACAGCAGCGGCGAGATGCTTTGCACTCAATAAAGAGGGCCACGGATTTTGTCTGTTCTGTTGGGGGGATGAAAAGAAAAGTGGTTGCGAGATTCGCCCCGCGACCATAAATCAAACTCGGCAGCCTTTTTTACTGCGGGGCCAGACAGAGCTGCTTTGGCGCTCAATGCATTCACCGTCGCCCAGTCGCTCAAGCCTCACCAGGCCCCGCGATCAACTGCCGTCGTTCAGGAATTTTTGCTAATTTGCATCACACCAAAGTTCGGAGCCAAAGCATTATAAATTTGGTAACAATTCAAATTGAAAATTTAAGATGGCAATACCAAGAAAATTATATAAAATTTATCAAAATGGTTCAAATTATTTTTGTGGGTAGCTGGCTGAAAAGAGCTGAATTAATTTTTAAATCAATTTAAAATAACAATTATTTTCACTTATACATATATGACTGCTTCTAAATTATAAAAATTTTGCAACTGATATAAATTAAAATCAGAGCTTTGCACTAAAGGGAAAACCAGAGAGGAAAAGGCCTTTAAAACGTCCCAGGTTTCCATCATTTGTCAACGTCAACTTGCAAAAATTTCCAGATTAAATGAGCAAGTCATGCAAATTTTAACATTAAATTCTTCCATACCAATTTTAATGGTTGGAGGTTTTAATGGAGTGGACTTGAAAATTTTAAACCCAATTCTCATTACTCTGCATCATGGGAGAAAATATTAAACAACTAATCAGCGTTATCATTACATAAAAAATTTAATTTCTAATTCATATAATTTTGGATTCAAGAAAAAACTCATCAACAAAAAACAAGTGACCATAAACAAATTTCAAAAGCGTCTATTTTATATCCTGTTGCGAGCTTGAAAAAGGTACATATGAAATCCGCCTGCCGTTCAAAATGGCCCGTTTAATTAAGCGACCAATTAAAAAGACATCAACTCGCGCGGAATTGCTCACCGCGGGCGTAATTAAACCCGCGGTGAGCAAATAGGAAGCACTCAATTTTTCCACTTGGCGGGCCGAGAATAATAATATTTGGTTTGCCGCAGCGGCCGAAACGTGCTGACTGGCAAAAGGGCGCCGAGAGAGAAAAGAAAGGCAAAGATTGTCCCTCGGAAATCCCTTCTGTACTCTTCTGCTCTCAGCTGCTTTCATTTTTAATTTATTATAAGCGCCGGCCTGATGTAGGTAAACTTTAAAAATAAACGAACGGTCGCCCAGCGGGGCTTTAAGAAATTGGGAAGACATGCAAAAGAAAACACCGTGCGGGAAAAATATATAAAAAGACGCGAGGACGCGCGTGAGCCTCTCCGTCTTTTATGTTATTTTTTTTTCGCAGCAACACCCTTCTTTTCTCTTCTTCTTTGTTTTTTCTCGGCGAAAAACAAAAGTGAAATTCCGGGCATTGTTTCGTGTGCGATGAGAATTTATTTCATGTTTATTTGCGGCCGTGCCTCAATTTCCCGAGAGACGTGCCACCGCCGCGTGCGGACTTCAATTTTATGCACGAGCATTCCACAAGACCGGCGGCCGCTTCTTGCTGATTGCCGCGAGATTTATTGGCAGGTGTGATCTACTCAATTTAAAACAAAAGACTCTAAATTAACCCGCCGGCTTGTACACAAACCCAAAAGAATGAAGTTGTAGGGAGGAGCGCGCGTGAAGACTCACGTTCACGGCCAATTGCTCCCAAATCTTTTGATTTATTTCATGACTATTCACACAACACAAATCCAAGAATCATTGTTGTGTGTTACTTTGTTAACTTGCAAAATCTTAAAATTTTATTTTTAATTTCATTAATATCAAAAATAAATTCTATTTCAATCAAGAGAAAAACCTTTTATATCCTGAAAATAAAATATAATTTTACTCACTTTAAAGCCCAACATAATATCTTTTTCAATGAAATTTTGGTTCTAGAATCACCTAATTTGATGAAGAATCAACTTTTGCAACTAATAGAGTGGCTACAACCTTTTATTTTCAAACTGCAAAAAATAAAGAATTTTTTCACAAACCTTCCTGATACCAAAAGCAGTTGAATTAAATAACAAAAGTATAAATTGAGGAAATAATTGCAAATTTCCACTTCCACCTATTTCACTGTTTCGCCTAAAATAGCTTATAATTTATTTTAAAAATTATCACAAATGTTATTGTATGATAAAAATGCAATTATTATGCAGAAACTTTTCGTCGCAAATTTAATGTCACCGCCTTATATGAGCTGTGCGGAAATATCATTAACAGCTCCAATATTTTTGGCTCTGTTTGATTTACAAAAATCTCCAGAACAATGGGAATATTTTTTTCCTTCAAATATTGTCTAAAAGTTTTTTTACACTATAAAAATTTGCAACTATAAAATAGTATGTAGCAGTTGTGCATGTTCATTAATTATCTCACTTTCAATTTTGACAAATAAAGTAATGGAGGTCAAGTAAGTAAATAAATATTGATAAAAACAACATTTTTTTCCATTTATCCTCTATTTTATTGCAAATTAATTTTATATTTTCTCCGATGAGCATTTAATTTTTTGCCAATAACTCACAGTCTTAATTAAGATGCTGGAACAAATTGTATTTCATCGATACAAGTTTCAAGTGCCCACGCGGAGTATCGTTATTCACACAACTGGCGGTTACATAATTACGATGATTATCTCTCTTCCCATTTCATTAATGCCCTCTCATTCTCTCCTCAGCCTTTAATATTAGTACCACTCGGTCAGAAGCAAAAAAAAAGAGATAATCGGCTTAGCAAACTCAGACTCTTGTGGAGTTTTGTATGCTTTTTCGAATTCCGCGTGCTGCACAGCCTTAAATCATTATCATTATCATAAAGAATCATTTAATTATAATATGACAGCGGCGGTCTCCTGCGACTCGCGCGGCTTCCTGCACAAGCAATAAATACTTCTCGATGTGTACCATCTCATAAATTATATCATAGTGATGGCAACGCCATTCGCGGCTCGTTCTTCGCTCGCAGGTAATTCAGGAGTTCCAGCCAGTGACTTAAACGAATGGGCCACAATCAGGTGCCCTCCGGACGCGCCAACACACAAATGCCCCCCTGCAAGTCAAAAGCGCAATCATTTTTGCATTGAGCTTGTATAAACGAGTGCATTTCACGCGGGCGAGATACGCTCGTAAATTTTAATATTCAGCGACAAAGCCGCTTATTATTGAAAGTGATTCACGCTCGTATGAATGTTCGCACCTTGCTTAACCTGACCAGACCGCAGCTGCAATACAAGTGGTAAAATTAGGCAATTAGACAATATTTTCAAAGAAAAATTCCGGTTTTGCAAAATTAATTTTTTTGCCAATTTTGTCGGTGAAATTTGACCATTGCTAAAACAATTATTTTTCTGTAACAGTTATTTAGTAATTTTTTTTCACAATATTCAAGTTTTCTCTAAAAAGATCCTTTTACTTCAAAGCAATAAATTTTATTTAGACATCAATATTCGGAACACATGTTAATCTGTTTCAAATTCCACGTGCAGACCTCGTACATGTGGGGTCA